GTGCTTTGTTCCAGGCTGTGCTATGGGAAGTGCTCAGTGATACTGAAGCACAGAGCAAAGTGACATTTGGCTCCCGACCCCTTCAGAACCCCAAGCTCAGGAGGAAAAAGGACCCAAGGGAAAACATGATGCAGAAGGCAATCTTATCCCCTAAACCTTTCCTCTGAGGATGCTGACATTACATGCTGCTAAGATTACCTGCATGATTTCAAAGCCACCACTGAAATTTAATGGGTCTGCAATGGAGGCTGAGTATAGGTATTTTATACATTCCCTTGAAGTGTAAATGCTGAGCCAAGGTTGGGAACCAGTGCCCAAGACTGGGACGTTCTGCTAGGTAGAGGGAATTTTAGGCTGATTGACAGCTTGGTTAAGCCATGCTGTTTTATTGTTAAATGATAATATGCAGTCTCTCTGAAGAAAAATCCAAGTGGAGGAGGCCTCCTCTTCTCTGTGTCCCCACTGCTGCTTGACCAAGTAAAGGAAGCAGTCATTTGTGTTCTTGGAATTTTTACTAAAACTAGAACCAATGCTAGACTTTCTGAAAGCTGTTTGCTCTTCTATGTAGATGTTGTAATCAAATTTGATTTTTTCCCCCTTAAACAGTAAGAATGATCTTATAAATTCATGCTGGCTGAATATGTGTGCATTCTTGTCTTTTTGAGTGAAATACTGGTATTAATAAGTGCTTCAGTTAGTTTGAGGTAAAAGTCACTTGTCATTAGCTGGTCCTTTGAAGTTTACAAAAGATTTTTCTTCTCTAGAAATTAAGCAAAGAAAGCTTTAAATTTTCTTTTGATACTGTCCCAAAGTATATGAGATGGTTATATTGGGTCCTACAGTGGGAGTAGTATTTTTATTTTACACGGTTGCTATGGAAATGAGTTCCTTGTTTGTTTCTTCAACCTCTAAATTCTAAACATACCAGTCCACAAATTAAGCTATGACTGGCTTCATATCTTAATATGTGTAATGTAGAATAATAATTTTCTAGTAGAGATGATTCTAGATGTGTGTCTGTTTCAGATTGAGGAGAAGTTTTCATTTAAATGGCACTTCAGGGGACATCTGGATTCTAGCTTCCTTTCTTCCCTGGGTCTAGCAGCTGCAAGCCTGTCAGTGACCTAACCTTGCTTTGCACTCATTGAAAAACAACAATGAGAATCTGGCTCAAGGCTTCCCACATGAAGCTGTCTACAGCTCCCTCCCTAGCACTCTTCATACCTTATGACTTGGGAAGAAATATTGTAAAGTGCAACTTGAAACCAAGAAGGAAAATTTCTACAAGCCAATGACTATTCAAAGCGTGGCTGGAGTATTCCTATTCCACTTGCTAGACAAGCATGAGGCCCTGAGTTCAAAGTCCAGGACCACAAAGAAAAATAAATAAATTTATTGTTTATCAACCCACATACTCCTTGTCTTATCTAAGCAACCATAGTAAATGATACTCCACAGATCCTTGACAATTGAGAGGCCTGAGTGATAGCTGTGTATTCTGCCTAGGGCAAGACCTTATTTTCCTTGGTTGGAGGGGGTAGGTTTCCCAGCCCAACAAATTATGTGAATGCGAGGGTCCCAGTGCTCTTCTCCGCAGCTCCCCGCCCACCTTCCCCACCTCATGTAGGGCTCAGTGTAGCTCTGCACTCCTATGCCCTCTCCACAGGCTAAGATGGGTAAGAAGGTGACTCAATGCACCACTCTCAGTGAGAGGCTTGGCAGGGCCAGAATGTCACTAAAACAGTCATCTTAAAAACTTAAGCTTTTATGATGGATATAATTCCTAGGATCCTCTCCTGAGCTTTCCTTTACCAACCTTTTTTTTTTAAATTAAGGTTTGTTTTTATTGTGAAAATACTGTACAGAGGGGTTACAGTTACATGAGCAAGGTAATGAGTACATTTCTTATCCAGCATTGTTGCCTCTTCCTTTGTTTTTCCCCAACCATCCTTTCCCTCCCATCTCCTCAGCTACACCTCCTCCCCTGCCTAAATTGTAAAGTTCGTTTTTTGTCATAGCATCTTGCACATCTCATTGTTGCAAGGAACCAACCTTTTCTAACCAGCATTTTTGACCTACCCAGGTTGCCTCAATGTCATACTATAAATAGCCAGTTTCAGTTTTCACTGGGACCTTAAATTGGACCCTGTGAGGTTTAGGATATGATACAGGTCCATAAAAATAGCTAAGCCAGAAGCATCTCAGTTACCCTAGCAACCGTCCTGCCACACTTCTCACCCTATCTGCATGTCTTCCATCCTCACCTGACTCCTGAAGCTTCTTACCGGGTGGGCAGCCATCGTCTTTTGTTTCAGAGAAGACATGGGGGATAGACACGCCACTTTCTCCCCAGTCCTCCAGCCAATGCAAATGGAGTCTGAAATTAAACTTGGCTTGTATGCCTCCAAGCCCATGATCAATTCTTTTTTTTTTTGGGTCCGGTCGTAGGGCCTGAACTCTGGACCTGGGTGCTGTCCCTCAGCTCTTCAGCTCAAGGCTAGCGCTCTACCACTTGAGCCACAGCACCACTTCTGGCTTTTTTCTTTTTGCTTATGTGGTGCTGAGGAATCGAACCCAGGGCCTCAGGCATGCAAGGCAAGCGCTCTACCACTGAGCCACCTTCCCAGCCCCATGATCAATTCTTTTGTTGCCAGTCACCATGTGTAAAGTGACCTCTCGACCAAGGTCTGAGGAAGTTGTAGTGGCAGAGCTTGGTTGATAAACTGAGATGAGAGAAGGAAGCTTCATGGAGGATCCCAGATTCCTTCACTCAGACGACAAGATGGTGGTGACACAAATGAATATAACAGAAGGGAAAGCAAGTTTATTGAGGATGACAAGATAAGCTCAGGCTGAGGTGATCAAGATGAATCATTGTGAACCTTGATAGTCTCAGGAAATATTTTCGCCAATTGAAGTGTGCTGGTCAAGTCCAATTGCTTAATTTGGCCCTCAAAACCTCTGCGAGAGACCTAGCCAGCCTCTCCCAGAGCATCTTCCATTCTGCTTCATATATTTTCTATTTCAAGCAGATTTTTCTCTAAAGAAACAAACACCTAAAACCAAAACTAGGTCTCTGAAATGACATCTTCAGCAGCTTCTTTCATTGTTAAGCACAATTGTTAAACTATATATCTTTTGTGCAATTGTTTCATAGCAAAGTGACTTCTACTCTAGTTTGGAAAAGGCATTTCCAAAAAAGTGCAATGCATCACTCTGATGTGCACAGCCACCATTTTCTATCTTTGGTTTTCCTTGTATATTTGCATTAACAGTTTTTTTTTTACTTGAAATGCTCCCTTTCCTACAAGATGCTCTATTGCCTTTCAAAAACCCAAATGAAATGTCTTGCAGAGTAATCAGTGGGCGCAGTAGGAGCACTGTGATTAGTTCCTCCCTTCTCCATGTTCCCATAGCCCTCAATTTATATTGCTTAGCCTTCTAATCTAATTCGTGATCCAGGAATTCTGGAGTCAACAATCAATTTACATGCCTTATTTCAACTAGAGAGAAAATATATCTTAAATACTACTTTTCCAATATTCCTATCTATCTATCTATCCATCTATCTCTCTATTTATATTGAGACACTTTCTCATTGTGTGGTCCAAGCTTTTCATGAACTTTTGAGTTCAAGTGGTCTTTCTGCTTCAGCCTTTGTAGTAGCTGGTACTATAGGTGTAGACCACTAAGTCCAGCTCCTGAATCTAATTTTTAAAGTCCTATTATCTGTCATGACTTTAATGTTTAAGAGGCTCCACTGAAATTGTCCAGTCTTAGACCCTGGAAATCCACAAGAAAGCTTCACAATAGTCTAAGCAAGAAATCAGGAGGAAGGGATGGTGTGTTGGAAGCTGATTGAAGATATTTCTGCTGCAAACTGGGAAGGATTTAATTACCACAGAGATGAAGCTGGAGTCATGAGTTACAGGATGATGATGATGATGATAAAGTTTGTAAGGGAAGGAGGGGAGGAGAGACAGAGAGAGACCTCACTAGAAATAGATAGATGATAGGTAGATAGATAGGCAACAATCAGGTAAAAATGAACATTCAGACAGATAATAAGGAAACAATGCAAAGGATGGAAGGGGTGACATTGATCAGATGACACTGATCATAATCTGACTGATGGGATTGGAACCCATAACTACAACTACTGTATAACTACTTAATTAAAAAAAAAGAAGAAACAAATTTACTCTAGAGGTTAGGCAGGAGAATTATAAGTTCAAATCCAGCTTGTTCTATATATGTAATTCCAGGCTAGCCTGGGCTACATAGCTAGACCCTGTCACAAACAAACAAAACAAAACAAACCAATGATCAAGGCCTCTTCTTCTCACCTGGCATAACTTCACTGAGCAGTCCCACAAAGTCAAGCCTTGCCTGAATAATCTGTTGCAATTGTGGCAGCGGAGGCCCAGGTTTGTTTCTTGAATTACTGTTACACCATTAGTGTAAGGCCAGCAATTGGTTGACTGACCTGAGCCAAGTTGATACTTGCTCTGTGTACCTTCACCCTCCTGGTTGTGTTAGGAGGATATTAATTGAGATAGCACATGCCAGAGTTCATGAGTGAGATTCAGCAAATGTGTGGGCAGATGAACTTCAGTTGTGGAAGGCGCAACGTTTGTAAGGGCAAGGCCTGCCAGCCGTCTCTGCACCCCAGGTGACCAAGTTTCATTCTTGCATTCTGGGTCTCAGCTCCAGCTTGGCCACTGGGCTCCGTTCCAGGGGGCCTGCATGCATCAAGCTAAGTACGATCTGGAAGAGAGTACAGCACCTGCCGGATCCAAAGTCCGACTACCAGGGCCTAGTCTGGCTCTGGGAGATCCATGGGTGTGGGATGGGGGTGGGGGGGGTGCCCACGGGGCGGCGCCTTTGGGGACAAGCAGGCCTCCAGGGACAGGGCGGGGCAGGGCAGGGTAGGACTCCGCTCCCCATATCTGACTTGATTGAAAAGATGACAGTGTCAAAGCCACTTGAGAGCCACCAAGATGGAGCTGGAACTGGAGTTCCGAGGAGCTGGGGCTGGTGCCTGGCCTACTGGGAAGTGGCTCCTCGGGACCGAGGTCCCCACGGGGAATGAGGAGCAGGAGGAGGTGGAGGTCACCGAAGGGAAAGGCCAAGCCGGAAGCCTGCTGCGCTGGTTCTCCACCGTGATCCTGTATCTGGCCTTCCTCGGGCTGGTGAGAGTTGGGGCTGCGGCCTCCCGAGTGCTGGGCGTCTTGTCAGGGAATGAGAAGCTCCAGCTTGGACTCTCCTATTTCACACCTACCTACACAGTGTGATCTTGGGCACTTTGCTTTCATCGTCTGCAAAATGGGCACACTTGTAATCGTGAAGGGTGACTGTCATGTGTGAAAGTTATTTTCCTGGCATTTTCCGAGTGCCTGGGTGTGTTGAGGAGATCCAAGAAGACAGACGGGGTTTGCAGATGCTTTTCTCCACACCCACCTCTCCAAGCTCGAAATGCTGACACAGAAAAGCTGCTGCTTGGGGATTTTTCTCTTCCTGGTGGCTTGACCATGTGCAGCTGAGCTTGGTAGATAGGACCCAGAGAGGCTGGGATCTGTTTCCAGATCGCACAGCTGGTTAAGTGGTAGAGTCAGGAATATCTTCACCCTGCCATCACTCGATTGGAAATCACCCTGCCGATCTGCTAAGCAAAGTGCAGGAATAGAAACGCCCAACTTGATCATTTTTGACTCTGGAGTGTCTGGAGGGTGAGTCCTTCAAAGGCAATCATTTCTAATCAGTTAGCATCTTAGAGTGAACCACGCCTATTTATTAGAACCATGTTGCTTTAATTTATTTTGAGCTAGAGTTTTGCTATGCAGATCAGGTTATCCTTGAACTGGCAATCTTCCTGCCTCTACCTCCCAAGTGTTGGCTTATACTGGGTGGGCCACATGCCACACCAGAATCTTTTCATGGGGGAGGGGATGACAGAACTCACTGCAGATGCTTGCTGAGCCCTCTGTATACCAGGCCTTCTTGGGCCTTTGAAGACATGAAGCACTTTGAGTAGAGTCAGTTTTCAGCCTCTTTGTATCTGATGCTGGGGCTTTTGTATCTGATGTCAGTGGCTTTTCAGTCCTGGACTGCTGGTGTTTGACTAGGAAATCCACTCTTCATTTGGAACCAAACAGTGTAATCAGAATAAAAGATTTTTGAAGTATGGATAATTTAAGTTTTCTTAAAGGGTTTTACACATTTTCTAAAACTGAACTGTAACCCTCAGTTCTTGCTAATAAATTGTGCAAACAAAATTTTGTTAAAATCATTCTGCACATGTGTAAGTCCTATTTGCTGGAAAAGCCATGAAGATGGTGCTCTTTCCTGATGCCTTTGGAATGTCACTGAAGATTAAGAAATATTCAGAGTGCTTATCTTCTGTTTGTTGGAGAGGTAGATCCCCATATATATCAGAAATTTTAATTTTAACTTATTTTTAAATTAAATAGAGTAAGTTTATTTGAAAGTGAAAGAAATGATAGAAAGTAACTCCATCTGGAGAGGAGTCTAAAGAGGAATCCCAGAAATTTCCATTTTAATGTAAAAAAAACTAGGAATAAAAATTTTGATGTTTGATAATTTCAAATTTTACCATCAATATTCCTCTGTTAGTCATGCAAATAGTAAGCATATTTTAAAAAAGAAAGGATTCTGAGAATAAATTTGTTTCATCTTTATAAGAATAAATGCAGAACAGCGTTTTAAGGTATTGTTCAAAAACTAAACACAACTGCAACAGAAAACATTTTTTTTAATTTATAATTTTAAGTAAAGGAAAAAAGACATACCTTATAATAGCCCTACAGATAATAATGTTGTGCATTTTCTTAACTTGTTTGATTTGGTAATTCTTCTCATTCCGCTGTAATCATCCTCCCACTTTTTTGTTGTTGTTGGTGGTGGTCATGGGGCCTGAACTCTGGGCCTGGCTACTGTCCCTCAATTCTTCAGCTCAAGGCTAGCGCTCTACCACTTGAGCCACAATGCCCCTTCCGGCTGTTTCTACTTATGTGGTGTTAAAGAATCAAACCCAGGGCCTCATGCATGCAAGGCAAGCACTCTACCACTGAGCCACCTTCCCAGCCCCCCTTCAATTTTTTATCGTGGAAAAGGCTATTATTTAATAGCCATCATTTAATGTTCATTGTTAGCACAAAGCTTTTTGTCTTTTTCCATTTTAGGGACTGGGTGCTGGCATACTGGGACCCACATTTCAAGATCTGGCCACTAATGTGAACCGCAATATCAGCAGCCTTTCTCTAATATTTGTGAGCCGGGCCTCTGGATTTTTGTGTGGCTCCATGATTGGGGGAGTTCTTCTGGACCATGTAAATCATTTTATACTTATGGGTAAGGAAGTGCTGACTTTCACTTCTTTGAAATTGTCAGTGAGTTCACAAGCGTGTGAGAAATAACAGCCTGATGATGGTGTTTCGGGGTCCTCTAGAGAAGCTGCGTCTCCAGGGCTCCTGCTCTCGCTCAGCAGCTACAGACTGGGCCACCTGGAATCTTGATTAGCCCTCAGTGTGCTGATGGCAGTCATGAGCCTCCAACCTCCTGAGGCACCAGTCCATGTCACACACTTGTCCCAAAGCTCTGCACATCAGCTGTAGGACAGGTCTCTAGGGCCACCTGGAGCCAGATGAACTCTGGGAATGTGGCCAGGCTCTCTAGACTCTGGGTTAGCAGTGTGGGACAGAGGATGGTGATGAACTGATCCAGGCTACACATTTGTCCCTCTTGCTGCCCCAGGTCAGTGATGAGCCCAGATGGCTCTGCAGCATCGGAGAGACATGGCTATGTGTTTAACATTCTGCTTTGGATTCACTAACATATTTAAAGAAAATTTGGATCAATGTGATGAAACTCTTTTGGAGGCAAGGAGAATGACTTATTGCTAATGAATAAGTAAAGAAAAAAAATCCCTCTTCCAAAATGGGTTAAAATAATGTTTTTCCTGACCTATTCCACAAACCAACTTATTTAGCAAAGTTTTATATATTGATATATTTTATATATTGATATATTGATTACATTGTATTATTTCCCTTTTACATTATATATATATATATATATACCTTTAGATTTAATCACTGTTGTTAGATCTCATTTGCTGTGAAACTTTAAAGTTTTATTCACATTATAGCAAATTATATTTATAATCCATGAATACTATTAAGTCTTGGGCAAAATAATAACTTGTAGAAACTGCAACTCTTATCTCAAGATTACCTACCTTTCACTTGACCTTGTTTGCATCTATGTAAAGCTTTTATGATATGGACTTGCCCTATGATTCTTTGACTATTGGTACAGTTTTCATAGCTAGATTCTTCTTCTTCTTCTTTTTTTAATCTTTCTGTTCAGGGATATCAATGCTGGTTACCACAGCTAGTCTTTACCTAACTCCTTTCTGCAAGACCGCAGAAATTCTGATTGGCATGATGCCTGTCTTTGGTGCTTCCATTGGCGTTCTTGATACAGGTCAGTTAGTCTTTCATTGTCTTCTTGGTGGGTAATGGGACATGGCTGGTAGGAAAAGTAGAGCAGATGAAATACTAACATCATTTGCATTGCTTGTGAAATGACGTGAACTCTGGGGACATCGTACCAAAACTACCTCCTAGCAACTACCCCTCTTGCTAGTCAAGTCACCATTTTTAACAACCTACTAGGAAGTGATCTTTGAGGGTTTTGGTTATGAGAGGTGTCGATTTACTATATCCCAACAGGGAAAAGACACCCAAACTAAAGCTAATCACAGTGCAGTTGAATGGGCTCACATTTTAGGATAGAATCTGGTAATTTTAGATCAAGAGGAAATGGCTTTGCCAGACTGCCAACAATGGACTACCACCACTGACACCAGGAACGGTGTACAGAGGTGGTATGGAAATTGTGGATGACAGCATTTTTGTCATCAGAAAGGTGAAAGGCCTTGCTCATACCCACAATGTGCTCACCCTGTTGGAGTCCTGGATAGCTATACCATTTACCTGTGGGATGGCTGTTAAAGAAAACATTTGTATTATTATTTTGTGTGCATGTGTGTGTGCACGTGTGGGGGGGGGCACACAAGTGCACATGCGCACCAGTGCTGGGGCTTGAACTCAGGGCTTGAGCTCTGTCCTTGAGCTTTTTTACTCAAGACTTCATGCTCTACCACTTGAGCCACAGCTCTGTTTCTGGCTTAAAAAAAAAAAGTTAATTGGAGATAAGATTTTCATGAACTTTGCTGCCCAGGCTGGCTTTGAACCTTCAGCCTTGGTCTCCTGAGTAACTAGGATTACAGGTGTGAGCCACCAGTGCCCAACTGTGAAAATATTTGAATACCAAAGAGACAGCCAGATCTAAAGAAGCTAGATCTAAAATACAACTAGTTGTAATAACATATACAGGGTTCAAAGCATTTATAGACAAACAACAAACAGATCAAAGGAGAGGAGAAATACTTAGGATAGGAATCTAAAAGCTTAACTCCTCTGAACAACTAAAATACTGTTTACTAAAATGAATTCCATAGCTGGGCGCCAGTGGCTCATGCCTGTAATCCTAGCTACTCAGGAGGCTGAGATCTGAGGATCACAGTTCAAAGCCAGCCTGGATAGGAAAGTCTGTGAGACTCTCATCTCCAAATAAACCACCAGAAAACTGGAAGTGGTGTTGTGGCTCAAGTGGTAGAGCACTAGCCTTTAGCTGAAGAGCTGAAGGACAGCACCCAGGCCCAGAGTTCAAGCCCCACAACCCCCCCTCCCCGCCCTCCACCACACACACACACACAAAGAATTCCAGGAAATAGAAACATATTTTATTTTTAAATTTTGGAGGGACAATGGAAGAACAGGAATGGAGGGGGAAGGGTAAACAAATGTAGTCATTGTACTTAATATACATTATGTAAAAACTCAACTATGTAACTGGTGAGGAGGGAGAAGAGGGGGAAATAAGGGAGAACAAGGAAAGGGGAGACATTGTAAAGAAGCATTATACTGGAACCTGACTGGAATTGTAACCTCTTTTGAACAATTCCTTAATAACAGCTAAAAAAGAGAGAGAGAGAGAGTGACAGCCAAAGACACAGGTGGCTCACCACCTGTCTTAGAGATTCCAGAGATTGAGATCTGCTTTGGAACCAGGCCAGGCAGACATATCTCAGAGACTTCTGTCTCCAATAACAAGCAAAAGCTGAAAGTGGGCTAGGTGCTGGTGGCTCACTGCTGTAATCCTAGCTACACAGGAGGCTGAGATCTGAGGATTGCAATTCAAAGCCAGCCCAGGCAAGAAAGTCCATGAGACTTCTCTCCAACTAACCATCAAAAAACCTGAAATGGTGCTGTGATTCAAACTGGTAGAGTGCTAGCCTTAGGTAAAAGAGCTCAGGGACAGTGCCCAGGCCCCAAGCCCTACAACCAGAAAACAACAACAACAACAACAATAACCAACTTGGAAGTGGAGGTGTAGCTCAAGTGTAGGGTGACAGCTTTGAGTTGAAAAAGCCAAGTAAGAGCATGAGGCTTTGAATTCTAAATATAGTTAAGAAAAATAAAACAAACCAAAAAACCTAGATAGCCAAAGCCATGATGCTCTTGGCTGTCAGTTTCCAGGTATTCAGACAGTGTAGGTTTACGTTAGGAAACGTGTTCTTGTCTTGTACTTTGGACATATTGGGATTTTGGAGCATTCAGGTCTTGAATGGGTATCTTGCCTCTTACACAAGTAAATTTTCCTCAATTGGAACTGAGTACCAATTGCAAGTATGGAAGCCACAATCACAAGTATTTGGCCACAATTGGATAAAATTTTGCCTAGTCAGTGTGTGTGTGTGTGTGTGTGTGTGTGTGTGTGTGTGTGTGTGTGTGTATGCATATGTATATATGTATATATCTTTTGGAAATATATAGACATATATGTACAATATATATCTTTTGTAAATATACATAAAATTGATAAATATGTGTGTAATGTGTCTGCCCTGAGGTGGTAGTTGTTTTCAAGCTTATGGAATTCCATGTATGACATTGAAACATTCTAGTAGGCTAGAATTTTTTACCTACGCAATGGACTCAGACTCAGGGCCAGTCTTTGATCATTTAGAACATGGCAAAGAGATTTCCATGTAAAATTGAGACATTCTCTTTCAGATGAAACTGAACCATGTTTTTCCTGTTATCCTGAATAATTTAATTAATTGTCTCTGTGTCTCTTTGCTAGGTGGGAACGTGCTCATCTTGGCTCTTTGGGGGGACAAGAGCCCCCCCCACATGCAGGCCTTACACTTCAGTTTTGCCCTGGGTGCCTTCCTGGCTCCCCTGCTGGCTAAACTGGCGCTGGGCCCCACAGAGTCTGCTGACAACCACACAGAAACCGACTTTCTCCCTGCAGCCCTCAATGCCTCTTCTGAAGCCGCCTCAGACCCTCTACTCGCAGCTCCCCATGACATGAACTTACTGTGGGCTTATGCTTCCATAGGCACTTATATTCTCGTAGTTTCTCTCCTTTTTTTTGCTCTGTTCTGCATGAAAAGCTCAAGGCAGGGAAAATCAACAGCATCTGCTCAGCAATCTCGAAGAGCTCAATACCACAAGGCCCTTCTCTGTCTGCTTTTTCTGTTCTTCTTCTTCTACGTGGGGGCTGAGGTGACATATGGCTCTTATATTTTCTCCTTTGCCACCACCCATGTTGGCATGGAGGAGAGAGAGGCAGCTGGCTTGAACTCCATCTTCTGGGGGACCTTCGCAGCCTGCAGGGGCCTGGCGATCTTCTTTGCCGCGTGTTTACGTCCTGCCACCATGATTGTGTTGAGCAACATTGGCAGCCTGGCCTCCTGTTTGTTTCTGGTGCTTTTTGACAGGAGCCCCCTTTGTCTCTGGATAGCAACCTCCGTGTATGGGGCCTCCATGGCCACCACGTTTCCCAGTGGTGTTTCTTGGATTGAACAGTACACCACCATCAGTGGCAAATCTGCTGCATTTTTTGTGATTGGTGCTTCTTTGGGAGACATGGCTATTCCTGCAGTAATTGGAATTCTTCAAGGGCAATACCCAGATTTACCAGTACTTATGTATACCTGCTTGGGGTCAGCAATATTCACTGCTATTTTATTTCCTGTGATGTATAAAGTAGCAACTTGGCCTCTGAATCACCAGAGAAAATAAAACAGAAAGAACAAAGAACAGAAAGCTTTGCTACCTACTTTTGGGCAATGAAAAATAAAAGACTGGGCTTGGTGCAGAAAATGAACTGAATCATATTTTAAAATGGCTGAAATAAATGGAACAATGTCTTTATGTAATAGATAACATATAGAAACATTTTGATGGAGGCCATGGTTGAAATTTCCAACCAATTCCTCTCCAGTGCATTGATGGTTAAAGTCCATCTTAGTTAATGCTGGAGATTCTGCCATGCAGCTGCAGGACAAAAGGGACCAACATAACATTCAGAACAGACGGATAATTCTCGGCTTCTTTGAAAAAGAAACACCACTTCTGAAGAGAACAGAGCACAGCATGGGCAGATTTTCAGCATGCTTGGAGATCAGAATTTCTAGGTCTACTTTGAATTCATGCTAAAATGGTTTGAAATGCTCTATGAGTCTCAGAGTCTTTCCTAACCTACCATATTTACATGCAGTAGGATCTTGTTGAGACTTGTGTTTAGCATGAGGCTGGGTAGGTCTGTTAGCATGCCCTCCATCTCAGATCCTCAGCCCCTCCCACAAAACCAGTTGATATGGCCAGGCCTAACTGCAGCTGGCCTTCAGACCTACCCATTCCTCCCACTCCACATCCTGTCTGTACATTTGAACAAAGGACAGGCACCATTTCTCCCTCCCAAGGTGGCTTTGTCAACCTCAGCTGGCAATACACTGCTTTTCCTGTCCATGACTCTGTCCATGTGGTCTGTGTGGTCTTCTGGGATGGATGATTTCAAAGTCATCTTGTATGGTCTCCAGAATTTAGATCATTGAATGAAAGCATTCATGTTTGAGAAACTGGGTGGCTATAGTGGAAGAGAACCACAAAGCAGTGAAATAGATTTTCTAAATACATGATCAGGCACCTTTGTTCAGCCAGAGAACTGAGGAGAGCAGTTTCATGAAAAACTTTCCTTGGAAGAGAACCAAAATTTTTAATTGCTTTGCCTTCACAAGGTAAAGCAAAGTTTGATTAAATGCTAAGGGGCCATATGGATTCTTAGTTTTATAAAAATGATTAGCAAGCTGGGTGCTGGTGACTCATGCTTGTAATCCTAGCTATGCAGGAGGCTGACATCTGAGGACCGCAGTTCAAAGCCAGCCTAGGCAGAAAAGTCCATGAATGCCTGACTCCAGTTAATCACCAGGAAACCAGAGTGGCACTGTGGCCCAAAGTGGTAGAGCTCTAACTAGTCCTGAGCAAAAGAGCTCAGGGATAGCACTCAGGCCCTGAGTTTAAGCCCCACAACCCCAAACAAACAAATAACAAGAAAACCAAAACTCTTAGCAGGGTCTAAGAGACCGTTTTTAAGATGGGACTCTTGTCTTTGGTTCTACACTGAGTCACTTAACAGGTTCTATTTCACTCATGTCCTGAGCTTTAATTTTGTGAGTTAAAATGAAATGATAAAGCTATATAGGTTTTAATGTTTGTTGAAGATGTCTTCCAGAACAATCTCTTCTCTATTTTAAACAGGTTCACAAATATACTACTGAGTTAGAAATATATTTCAATTTAAAATATTTAATGCTTATACTTACCTGGAGTAAGTATCTCTAGAATACAGTTTTATTGAGGCATTTTCTTTCTGCTTCTGTTCTCTTTTGAGACAGGGTGTTACTATGTAGCATAGCCCTTAAAGTTGGTCCTCCTAACTTAGTCTCCAACTTGTTGGGATTTCTGGTGGATGCCAACACATCAGGCGAGTGCCATGCTTGTTCCATCCATAGATACAAAAATTCCTATAATTTTTACAGACCTGAAACAAGATATTTCTTACAATTAATGATCATTTAACACTTTTGATAACTTTTATAATTTTTTCCATGCAAATATAAATATTGCATTTTATTTTATTTGCTGATTATGGAGTTTGAAGTCTGGGCCTGGGTGCTGGTCTCTGAGCTCTTTTGTTCAAGGCTACTGCTCTACCACTTTGAGCCACCTTACCATTTCCAGTTTTATGGTGGCTAATTGGAGATAAGAGTTTCATGGACTTTCCTGCCCTGGCTGGCTTTGAAATGGGATCGTCAGATCTCAGCTTCCTGAGTAGCTAGGATTACAGGCGTGAGCCACCAGTGCCCAGCCCTAATGTTGCATTTTATAATCAATGAAATATAGTGGAATTCAAGCCTGTACTTCCCTGTTACGGTTGATTTCTCCACTGAAATTATTGAAATACAATAATTCATTATGGAAATTATACTATTATAATAGGTATTAAACTATATTACACTATGTATATATTATATCTAATAATTAGTGAAAACTAGTTAAATTAGTGAAATATAATAATTCATTATAGAGAGCCTACTATTTTTACAGACAATTTTAAGGTAAAAGTTACTAATTTTTCTAGGAAGGATTCATTGTGTTTTCCAGGCTGGCTTCAAATCCATAGTGATCCACTTTCCTTAGCATTCTTTATATGTAAGACTTCATGTCAATACCACCACACCAGATGGAAAAGATATTTCCAAAGGATAGTTCCTCCAGTATGTTCAAATTTGGTGTTTGGAGACACTGTGGTCTAATTTTGGAGGCAATTAGAGTTGCTACGTTAATAGCAGAACTGTAGTAACTGTAGTTGGGTCTTTTGAGGTTCTTGGAATTCAGTAACAGGCTGGGTCCCAGCTTTGTTTCAAGATTTGATCCTTCCTGTGACTGAGTGCCAATCACATTAAAAGCACTTTGAAACCGGGCTAACATTCCACACTGGAATGCCTGTGTCAGTCATTTAGGCTCTTCTTTCTTGAATTTGAAATACCAGAGACATCAAAATCTAAAGGAGAAAGTGGCCTCCAGGCCACTTTCTGGGCCTCCACCTGGAGGCCTAGAAGTAAGAGATGAGTAAGAATGTTTCATATGACTGAACTGTTGTGGCCATCCTTAGATGAATGATCAGAACTGATGACAGATTTATTTCTTTGTAAGTTTTATGCTGAATGACAATTGATTTCTACCAGCTTGCATTTTTTTCTTATCTAATTCCTGTAAACTTGCTTGCTGGAAAAAAAAAATTTGCCTTAGTTCCCCTTAAGTAAAACACAGCACCTTTCCTCCTCCTCCCCCTCC